ATTCAGCAGGTTCTGGCCAGTTCTGGAGAAACGGTAGTGGAAATTTTGAGTAGTTCGGAGAAGCACAAATACCACCTCTGACTGGAGATTTTACAGTCTCCTTCCCCTTCCACGCCCACCAAGCCATGCCCGTACAACCGATAGTAAAAAAAAAATTGAATCCCACCACTGATCTGTCACAACTTTGAACAGTTGCTAAGCAACTGATCATTAAGTAAGGCGAACTTGTATGGTAGTAATCTAAACCTTGGGTGGGCAGATTTCAGATTTACAAGCCTTATTTGCTCTCTTCCTCAAACAACAAGATCCAGACATCAGAGTAAAAAAAACCTCTGTGTCTGCAAAAACCATATTCTGAACTGAATAAAGCACCTATTGCATCCACATGCCCAACATCCTCATAGCTGTTTCAAACTTTCTTTATTGCATCAGTTCACCTTCAGGCCTGGCCTTACCGTCACTTTTGTCTTTTTTCTTTCTTTAATGTTATAGCATTAAAAATGCCAAAGTCAGAAATCCCTGTGACCTATTGCAAATCTCCTGGAGCTTTATCAGTAAACCCAGACCTAATCCTTATGTATGCAAATGACCGTGCTCTGGGAGAGCTGCCAGTTGAAACCAGACTTTTTTTATTTTTCCTTAGGAAAAAAAAGGGTGAGACTTCAGCAACGGAGCCACAAGCTACATATTTCCCTTGGTGCTGAAAGCGTACAGGTAGTCTTTGACTCATAACCACAATTGAGCCCACTATTTCTGTTGCTAAGTGAGACAGCTGTTTAGTGAGTTTTGCCCCATTTTACGACCTTTTTGCCACAGTTGTTACGTGAATCACTACCATTGTTAAGTTAGTAACATGGTTAGTAAGTAAATCTTGCTTTGACTTTGTTTTGTCAGACGTTCACAAAAGTTCCCACGTGACCCTGGGACACAGCAGCCGTCATAACTATGAGCCAGTTGCCAAGTGTCTGAATTTTGATCAAGGGACCGTGGGGATGCTGCAATGGTCATAAGTCTGAGAAATGGTCATAAATTGCTTTTTTTCAGTGTTGTTGTTATTTTGAACAGTCCCAAATGAACTGTTGTAAGTTAAGGACTACCTGTATATCTCGTATGTTTGGAGGGGCAAGGGGAACATGCATCAAGTTAGACATTTTCCAAATTTTGGGCAAGCCAAACCCCACCAAAAGTTCTCCATCAGCACCTTGGAGATTCAGCAGCATGAAAATCCTCAGTCTATTTTCGTAGTTATCAAGGCTTGCCAAAGGAAAAGCCCAGAGCTTAGAAACTGACTTCTACATCCATGATCACATCCAATGATATTTTTCTCACGGTGGTTTCTACAAAGCTGCATTTGAGCTGCACATAATCTGTGTTTAAATACGAACTGAACACCGGATACCTGCATAATGCTAATCAAATGTTAGGGTCGAGAAAAACTTAAATCAATGGTGCAAATACAATGCAGTCCCCACGATTTCTTTTTTCTTTTTTGCATATTTGACACACTTTATCTTGGAAACAGACGCAAAGCTGTTAGGAAAACTGGAAGCTTTCGATCCCACGCAATCGAAATAAAATCTGTGAACGCATCTTCACTATTTGGTCCAAGGTGGGTGGAGGATTGAGGATACTTTACAGAAAATGCACGGCTGCATTCCCCCGCAATTCCTTCTTCACCTCACTTCTACACACCAGCAATGTGTATGTAATACTATGAAAAAAAAATATGATAGTGTAATCATCCCAAAAATACTTTTCCAAGAGGCAACAGGACTTTCTGGTTTTTCATTGAAGACGTTTCATTTCTCATCCAAGAAGCTTCTTCAGAGCTGGAGAAATTTCTTGTCAGCGTTCTAGCAAACCTCCATTCCAAGGAGTAACTCCGAGACAAGCATCATCTCAAAAGTAGCTTTATTAGAATAGCACCTGACACATCTGTGGAATCTCGAAACTAAAACTGTCCCAAACTACAATCCATCCCACTTTCCCCCATCATCACATCACATGGACCAATCACCATCCGTCCCAGTGTAAGACCCTTTTTCTCTGCTGCACCACCCTTAATAACCTAAGAAAAAAAAATTGTCTACTTAGAACTACTCAATTAAAATCACCCCCCCCCTTCCCACTTTCTCGGGCTATGTGGCAGCGTGGAATATGGCTTCCAAAGCTGACATTTCTTGGATGAGAAGTGAAACGTCTTCTAAGAAAATCTAGAAAGTCCAGTTGCCTCTTGAAAAAATAAAACACCTTTGGGACAACCATGACCTGGGTAGCTGAGAATCTCCACAGACACGATAACATACAATTTCCTGCTTTTTCCCTATTGCCGCATCATGGGAACAGAGAACTGTCAACATGGCATTTCTCAATGCCAGAAAAGAAATACAGGTAGACCTCGACTTATCACCAGGATTTTCATTGTTAATTGCACTCCATTTTACAATTATTATTTTTTTTTGCCATGGTTGTTAAAGTGAATCTGGTGGTTGGTAAACAAATCCAGCCTCCCCCCATCGACTTTGCTGGCTGGGAAGACCACAAATGGTGATCCCATGACACACACACACACACACACACACACACACACACCCAGGACACTGCAACAATCATAAACCTTTGCCGGTTGACAAGCTCCCAAATTTGGATCACATGATTTGCGATCTGGGGTTGGAGGTGGGAGGCTGCAACCTTCACAAGTGTGAGGACTGTTAGTAAGTCACCTTTTTCGGTGCTGTGCTAACTTTTAATGGTCACTGAATGAACGGTTGTACATTGAGGACTACCTATGGAAAGCTGCGAAAATCCCAGAAAAAAACGCCAAGAAGATGCAACCATAATTATGTAACATTTAAGAGGGAGAAGAGATAATAAGATTGTAATTATCTGTTGAAAAGAAGGCTGGATGGAAGTCACCCTTATATTTCTTCCCTTTTGCTTTTTTTTCTTGCATTTTTTTTCCCTGCCCTTTTTTATTTCTCTTTTTCTGTCTTTCCTTTTTCAAAATTTGTCTTTTACTGTATGAAAAAAAATATCTTTTTTTTTTAAAGATGCAAATATAATTAAATCAGTCATTCTTGGTGCATTCTATCCTCTAGCAAATTCAGAAGTGGTGCTCTTAAAGTACTTGTGCTATGTTAGGAGGACCTATAATATTGTGTTGGGAAAAAAAAAGAACAGTTTCTGAGGACACAACTGGAATAGGTGGGGAATTTAATTAATTTGATTTACACGTAAAATTTATCTGGGGTACAGGGAAATTTTGGCCTGTCAGAGAGAGCTACCCTGTGAAGCAGTTAATTCTCAGCCTTGACCCCTTTCAGATGGTGGACTTCAACTCCCAGAATTCCCCAGCCAGCAAGTTAAAACCCACAAGTTTGAAAGTGGCTCAGGGTGAGAAATATCCATACATCCAGCCCAGAAAGACCTCAGGATAAACTTTTTCTACTTCTTTCCAAACTTCCCTGCCTCTAAAACAGAACCTCTTACAGCTTCATACTTATGGTAGGAATTTTTCTACCTCGCTTTCTTTCCACGTGGAGATAGGCAATTCCTTTCTTCACACAGAGAGAAATTTAACATGAGAGTTTAATGCCTGGCTCCACCCGACACTCAAAACTAGCTCAGTTTACACATCCAGTGAAGCGTATTCATACAACATGCCAACTTTGGTAACTTTTAACCTTGTTTAGTGGTTTGTTGGTTTGTTTTTTGAATAAATGATTGGCCCCATTGTGTGAACCCAGCCCACTGGGTTCACTTGCTGTGTAAACCCAGAAAATGGATAAATTCTATAACCAGGCTAGCTGCGTTGTGTGAACAGAGCCAGGGGAAAGAAATACTAAAAGATTTATGGAAGAAATTCCATCTTTGCTTGACAGACCTTGTCTCATGCATCTTACTCTAGTTTTTAGCAGCAGCCATTTGTCTTCTGTTACCTGTAATTTCAATCTCTTAAAGGCAGAAATATGTCAAACTATATCCAGACAGAAAAGAAGGATAAAAACACATTTGCCACAGATAGATATCTTTCACTTCCAACCATCTTCTCTTGGGGAATGCAACATGTTGGCTGTATTCACACGACATATTTAACCAAGTTTGATAAGGACCTAGTGCTTGCATTCACACAGCATGGCAGGTTTCAGCCCTGGCTAACTATTTTAGATCTTGTGTGAAAGCAGGCCATTTGGATATGTTTAGGGCTTAATATATTGTGCAATAGCAGAAAATGCATAAATTCAGAAACGTGGTTAAAGAGATGGTGTGAATACAGCCATTATCAACCTTAGTGGTGTAGTGTAACTTTATAAACTCACCATGGTAAATATAAGTAATGTACCATGATAAGAAAGAAGTTTGGGCTTGTTATGTTAGCTGAAAATCTGTTGACAGACGCTTAAGTTTATCTTTGCCACTGGAAGGATGGTGACCATTTTAATTTTTGCATGCTATCTCTAGATACCGATTTCTACCCTCTACCACGCACACCCAGTTGTTTGAAAATGCAGAAGTACTGAACAAGCACATCTGTGATCCCGTATTCCCAAGTGCAATCGACAAAAAAGAACCTTAGAGTATTTCTGAGGTGAAATGAAATTTAAAAAAAAAATCAAAACAGAGACAGAAATATGGAAAACTTTTCAGGGCATGGTTGTTTTGTTCAGAAATTGACCACCGAGAGAGAAGCCAGTTGTGTGAAGGAAAGACATGACTTTTCGGGAGTAGGGAAAAGGTTTTGTGAAAAGTGCAAAAGAAAAGAAAGGAAAACAGGAGCGAATTAAAGAGCTGGCAGACGTCCCAAGCCACAGTTTTCCAGCGAATAATATACCTCCCCCCACCCAAGGTAAAAAGCAAGGAAATTTCCAGGATGGTCAAAGAGCCAGACCATTTTTTAGTCTTTGTCTCTAGACAACAGAAAGTTACCTCTAGTAAACATTGGCAGAAGATATTCTTACCCCGATAGCTTAAAAGCCATGCCTGAAAAAATCAGATTTCTTTCATCCTTCTTTCAAAGATGCTGGGATGGCAGCAAAGAGGATCTTGGGGTCACTGAGATGCAGCCCAAGTGCAGAATGTTGGACCACCTTCATGCGGTGAGTTGAACTTGATGCCAAAGTTTTTCGTGAGGACACTGAGAAGGACGGATTCGAAGCCCAGGCTACGAGACCTACCAAAAGGATGGGAGTCTCTGCCTGGTCCTTGGCTGCTAAACTGGCCCACACCACCTGAAATAACCTGGTTAAACGAATTCTCAAGATTCTCAACCTAGAAAGTAACCAAAAAGAAAGGGGGGGGGAGGGAACCTCTCAAATGTAGCCCCCCTGGTGAGACATTTCCACCAGAAAAAAAAAACCCAGCAAAAAACAAAACAAAATCAAAAACCAACAGCCCCAAAGGAAATTAATAATCATAATCATAGCGATACCAATCAAACAATCCTTTGTGGAATCAACATTCCAGGTTCTGTGCATTCAGAAGGCCAATTGGCCCAAGGAAGAGGAGGAGATCTCTCTAGTAAACCGCAGAGCTGGAGGAGAAGGGGGACTGACGCGTTGCCGTCTACTGTTAAGCCCTGTGTCTTTGCAGTTGTGTTAAACCACACGTAGTTCAACTGAAAGTGTCTGAGATGAAGGGTGAAGAGAAATGGCGGTAGAAACAAATGCATATTTTTGTTGTTGTTTTTGTTTGTTTTCTTCTATCCCTCACAGTGATGGGTTCTTGATAAATTTCATTTCTCTCTCTCTCTCTCTCTCTCTCTCTCTCTCCCTCTTTCTTTCTTCATTTTTTTTCCAGAAAGTAGAGATGTCTTCGTCTCTCTTTCTCCCCCTCTCTTGGATTCTTTCCCTTTCACCTGTTTCCATTTCCTTGTTCTGCATCGTTTTCCAGGCACCCTAAATCTTAAACAACAGAGTCACAAAAACAGATGACAGCAAACCCAAAAGGACAGGAGGCTCTGTGCTGGCCACCGCTACATTGTCCAGAGAACCCGGTCCTGGGAGAAAAAAAAAAGAAAGACAAGAGGTTGCCATTGTTCTGGTTTCAATGAGCAATAGCAATGGCATTTAGACATATATACCACTCCGCAGTCCCAGCGGTTTGCAACATCAGCATATCAACCCCCAAGAATCTGGCTCCTCATTTTCCCAACCTTGGAAGGATGGAAGGCTGAGTCAACCTTGAGCCAGTCAAAACCAAACTCCTGGCTGTGGGCAGAGTTAGACTTCACTATAGGCAGTCCTCGACTTAAAATAGTTCATTCAGTAACCATTCAAAGTTGGAACTTTGGAACTGGGTTCTAAGTACCATTTTTGAGTCTGTTGTAATTTCAGACAGTCATGAAGCAACTGGTTATAAATCAAGGACTACCTGAAGTCTGAAAAATGAGGTAAGGCTCCGCGGACGATTACATCCTATGAAGAAAAACTAGACGTAAAGCTTCCTGAGATGACTAATTCTTCCCAAAATTTTGAAAATATCACTCAGCTTTGGGCTAATGAGCCACAGGATGTTAAGAAAATATAAACTGATTCAAGAAAAGGGAGTATTTGTAGCTCAGGGTTGAACTTTGAGGTCTTTGGTGTTGTCTGAACTTGGTTGTTTCCTCGTAGACATTTCATTATCAAACTAGGTAACGTTATCAGTGCACGGATTAAGTCATGAAACATTTGCAAGAAAACAACCAAACTCACAAAGCACCAAGGACCCCACAAACTTATTCAGCTCAGAATCTGACACAGATCCTTAGGACATTCTTAGAGCTCTCTTAAAATTAAGAGTTTCATACCTGATACTGTTATTATTTCAATAAATGTTTACTCCAAGGCCAAGCTTAGGTCTTAGATTCTTTATATACATACACTGGTTTCCCTGCACTGTGTGAAGGCATGCTGAAATTCCCCCACCTTTTTGCTGTTCTGTTTGAAAGGACAATAATCTATCCAAAGACCTAAAGGTGTTTTTTTTCCCCTCCCAAAGGCAACTGGAGTTTGTTTTTCCTTGAAAACATTTTGCTTCTCATCCAAGAAGCTTCTTCAGAGTTCTTCTTCAGAACTGAAGAAAGTTCTTGGATGAGAAGTGAAACAAATAAAAGGAAAAACAAAATCCAGTTGCCTTTTGGAAAAATAAGCACCTTTGGGCAGTGGTGGATTAAGGCTCACTGGTGCCCTAAGCACTGACAAATCTTGGTGCCCCCCCTCCCCTTTGTACACACTGTAAAACAAAGCTATATTCTCAACTTTGTGGTGCCCTCTTTGGACCTGGTACCCCAAGCACCTGCTTAGTCTACACCACTGCCTCGGGGACAACCATGATCTGGATGAGTAAGAATCTCTACAGCCAAATCTATCCAGAGGACCTCCAGGTGAAGTTGTCTCCAGGTACAACAAGGTTACAGAGGTGGTATTCAGCAGGTTCTGACCAGTTCTGGAGAACTGGTAGTGGAAATTTCAAGTAGTTCAGAGAACCGGCAAATACCACCTCTGACTGGCCCCACCAACCCCAACTCTTCTCTGCCTCCCATTGAGTCCCAGCTGATCAACTGGGTCTTCTTTGGTTGCCCTGCACAGGAGAACGGAGCTGGGAAGCAGGTTAACAGAGTGGGGAGGGAATGGAGATTTGACAGTATCCTTCCTCTGACACGCTCGCCGAGCCATGCCACGCCCACCATGCCACGCCATGCCTACCACACCACGCCCACAGAACCGGTAATAAAAAAAAAATTGAATCCCACCACTGAACCAAGAGCTAAAAGGTCCTGTAGGTGGTGTAAAAATTTACGGTAAGCCCCAGCAGTTTGCAAAGCGTGAGAAGAGAGGGAGAAGGAAAGACTCACTGATAAGCCGTAAGCTGACATTGTAGGAGCCCAGGCTGTTAGAAGCCAGGCAGGTGTAATTTCCGTAATGTCGAGTGGTAACGTTTGTGAAGAGCAATATGGAGCGTGTGCGTTCGTTCTGGATCTGCAGTCCGTCCGAGCCACTAATTAATCTGCTAGGAAGAGGAGGGAGACAATGAGAAAGTAAATAGTTAAAGTATTGTGCGCACAGAGAGAAAAAGGACCGCTGTGGTGGAAGAGTCGCGGGGGAGGACAGAGATCTATACAGGTAGACCTTGGCTTAAAACCACAAGGGGGACTAGAATTTCCATTGCTAAGCCAGGCACTTGTCAAGTGAATCATGCCTGATTTGGCAACCGTTTTTTTGCCCACAGTTCTTAAGCGAATCCCCGCCGTCATTAAGAGAATTGTGAAGTTGTTAAGCAAACATGGCTTCCCCCATTGACTTGGCTTGTCTGAAGCCTGTTGGAAGGTCACAAATCACAGGAGCCCAAGACAGTGCCGCAGGTATTAAATACAGGCCAGTGGCCAAGTGCCCAAATGTTTATCACATGACCTTGGGGAGGATGCAATGGTTGTAAGAGTGAAAATCGGTCATAAGCAGCGATGGGATTCAGTCAGTTCGCACCAGTTCAGGAGAACCAGTTGTTAACTTTCTGAGCAGTTTTGTAAAGTGGTTATTGAAAGAACTCATTAGGGTGGAGAACTGGTTGTTAAATTATTTGAATCCCACCACTGGTCATAAGTCACTTTTTTCAGCAGTGTTGTAACATTACACGGTCATTAATGGAAATGGTTGTAAGTCAAGGACTACCTTTATTGAATCCCTAATGTTTTTGGAGGGATTTCTTGGAATTAAGGAAGGGTAGGGAGATGGCTTGATTACAGAATAATCAAAAACAAGATATTCCAGGGCTGTCAAACTCAAGGCTGGTGGGCTGGATCTGCCCCACGGGGTGCTTAAATCTGGCCCATGGGGTTGGCCTGGAAATAGCCGTGATGCCTCTGGCAGCCAAAACAGGGCATTGGGGGGGTGGGGGTGGCAGCATGCAGCCCCAGTGCCCTATTTTTGGCCTGGGTGGCTTCCTGCAGCACTCTGCCAGCCAAAACGGGGCACGGGAGGCTGCATGAGGGCCCCCCCACCCCGCACCTTGTTTTGACCAGCAGGGCACTGCAGGAGGCCATCCAGGCCGAAAATGGGGTGCATGGGGGGCGCATGAGGCTCCCCGTGCCCCGTTTTGGCTGGTAGGGTGCTGCAGGAGGCATCCATCCAGTCTCTCCTCCGCACCCCGGCTGGACCGTGGAGAAGAACTACATCGCTGATCTGGCCCTCGAAGAATTCCAGTTTGACACTCCTGATATATTCACACACACACACACACACACACACACACACACCCCACAAACACCTCAGTCTCTTTATCACTAAATAATAACAGAGACTCCACTCCTCAAACGAGTCTGTGGAAATGCACTTCTCCTTCAAAGCAATTTCTAGAGTCATTTCTCTTTCCTCCAATTGCATATGAATTAGAAAGCTGGGGAAGATGCAGAGATTTTCTGTCCAGCAATATAAAATTCAATATCTCACAGTCGTTCATTTTCGTTTTACTGGATAATTTTCAAGCAGTGGGGAAAACCTATAACGCCGTGATGAATGTTTCTTGGAAGATTTGCTAAACCTCAAAGTTTTTCATCCATATCCCAGATAGGCAAAGGGTTCTTTGACAGATTGAGACTTTCTGTACATGTTCAAATGCTCATTTGCTTCGGGTTATCACTTCAGATTTTGGAAAATAGGATCAGAAGCAATTTCAGGTCCCTGGTTAATTTCAGGGCACGCAAGGATACACCAGATTAGAGCAAATCGAGGCTACTGCAAAGAGAGGGAATTTCCCTTGATGGAAATGAACTTCCCAAAACCTTGTTCCACCTCACAAGAAATATGAGGAAATAAAAATAGCGGGATTCACCATTAAACGCTTTTCTGTGTAACTCTGTTACAGGATCCATTATTTAAACCACTTCTTTCCCCCGCAACCTTGGCTACTTTAAGAAGTATAGACTTCAACTCCCAGAATGCCGTGTTGGTTAAGGAATTCTGGGAGTTGAAGTCCCCACCTCTTAAAGTGTCCAACGTTGAAAAAACATTGGTTTCAACCATGTCGCCGGATGGGAAGTTTATTTTGATTTGGGCAAATACACAGAAAAGGTATAATCTTTCTTTTTATCACCATTACTACTCTGATTCCAGTCCAACCTTCCCTTTCCCCGTATGGCTTTTAGGTCCATTGTGAATCTCCTTACACGACAGAAAGTTTGACTCCGTGACCCGCCAAATGGAGAGCCCTTTGCTTGCGCACTAAATGCAACTTCAGGATTTTATGGCCATTGGGGTGGTATAAAGCACTTTCTATAGCCTGACAACTGTCAGATTTCTGAGGCTTTTCATCTCGCATTACTGAGTTCTTCTCTCCCACCTCACACTGTGTGGTGGCTATAGTGTTTCCCTTTCGTTTGGTATTTGACTTCCCACGCGCCCACAGACCTGTCACAGTTTCCTAATAAAAGAAGATAAAGAGTGGCAGTTTCCCTTCTCCAAGCTCTTCTAACCACAAACAGCACCCCAAAGATTCAGGGGATTTGGACCATGAACTTTTATCACCAGCCTAACACAGGAAAAGAAATGGAAGACAGGCTGATCTGGAAGCCATAGAAAAAATCACCTTGTTGGGTGTCAGTCTTGGCAAAATTGGAAAATTAGACCTGAGAAACAGGTGATCTCCATTCTCTCACGAGTCCAAAAAGACAGAACAATAATAACTTCTTCCCTGAACGATTATACCTCTCTTTGCCCAGGGATAGCTTGTTCTGCTTTTAGATATAATCTCTGCGGTGGTACTGTCAAACAATTTTTTTATTTCCCAAGTAGGGGGACATTATACAACCGTGCACTCACTGAAAATGGGTATTGCTAGTCCACAACTTGAGACTACATCTGTTTTTGCCCTCTGTTTCCTTCTCAACTCACCCCTGTTTAGCAAGAGATCTTCCAGAGGGCCTTGAGATGTTGAGGAGATGGGATGTGGAAAATACGATATGATTAAAGAGATGGGCACACTATGCTTCCAACTAGTTGGATTCTAAACAAACATTAAATTAAGAGCCCTTGGCTTGTAAACTAAATGCAACAAGAATCAGTTTGGTCTAGTAAGGTACCAGGCTAGAAAGCTGCAGACCATGAATTATAATTTCATTTTATCAGTGAAAGCCAGCTGGGTAACTTTGGGCCAATCACCAGGAGACAGTGAATTCTAATCCTGCCTTAGGCATGAAAGACAGCTAGGTGTCTTTGGGGCAGTCACCAACAGGAGATAGTGAGTTCTAGTCTTGCCTTAGGCATGAAAGCCAGCTGGGTGACTTTGGGCCAATCACAACGAGATGGTGAATTCTAGTCTTGCCTTAGGCATGAAAGCTGGTTGGGTGAGCTTGGACCAGTCACTCTCTCTTAGTCCAATTTACCCCACTGGGTTGTTGTTGTGGGCATAATAGAAGGAGGAAGGTGTGTTGCATATGTTTGCCTCCCTAAGTTATTTATAAAAATAATAAAGGCAGGTTATAAATAAAAAAGTAAACTTTAAGATTTTATGGCCTTCACAGCTGCCCGCCCAATTTATTGGCCTAGGATGCCCTCATCCCCAGAATCTTGCTAATCTAAGTAAGGATGACGGAAGTTTTGGTGCAATGTACATTGATGGGTATGTCGCGGCTGTCAGGATTACAGAAATAATGTCCAGGCACAATCAGAGTGTTTAGCCAAATGCACAACCGAAAACTCTTCAATCTACCCCTCCAAGCTGAGCTTAGTCACTGTTTGGGGCTTGCCAGGTGCTCACAAGCCCTTTGCATTGCAATCCCAGGCAGGCAGCCAAAATGGGAGATTTATCACCTCCCCTCCACGCAGGCCCCCGCCTTGCCCGAGGGATAGGGTACCAACACATAACTGAGGCATCACGTTCTGCTTGGTGGATCACAAATTAATCTGCATTAAACAATCACGACTATGTGCCACAAGATTGTTTAATACGACTGCAATTCTGAAGGGGAGAAGCATGGGATGTTGTTTCACTAATGAGACGCACAGCCTGGCTGCACGGAGAGTTCCTTCACCCTGTGCTATTTCTCCATTTGCCGTGCCAGACTATTTCCCCATCTATTATACTAGATTATCCGATCATTTCTTAAGCCAGTACTTTTCACTAACTGCATGGATTTCCAGCTGGTTTCTGAGCCCAATTCAGAACAGGCAGATTAAGTTTTGAAACCCAGGAGGGCGTGAGGCCAGTTGACCTGAAGGATACCTTCTCTTGTAATCCAAATTAAAGCATCTTCAATAGGTAGCTATAGGTCAGGAATGTTGAAACTTGGCAACTTTTTAAGACTTGTGGAACTTCAACTCCCAGAATTCCCCAGCCTGCCTTGTCGATTTTCACAAGTCTTAAAGTTGCCAAGTTTGGACACTCCTGATCTATAGATCCTTTGTTTGGATTAGTGCAAAAATATAAAACTCTCTTCCAATTTTAAAGAGTTCTCCTTCAATCTGAGGAAAAAGTGAGCATACACTGTATGTATGTGTTCACTGGATTTATATGACCATCCAACTCCCAAATGCAACTCCAGGCAGCGCACGACAATAAAAGATAAAATGAAATACAACAAAACTCCACGGAGGACAACAAGCAAGAACAGTTGGGGCATACTAAGATATATTCTGTTTTATGGAATGAGCCCGAAAGAACAGCTAAGTGGTTGGGACCTTCCAAAGACGATTGGGGCAGGAACGAGATTTGAAAATTGTTGCAAAGCAGAGGAGAACGTTGGCAAATATCTCTTTGATGGAATGGAAGAATGGTGTTCCTTATTTTTAAGGTGGCCAAGTTGTTTGCGTGAACTTTCTCCCCCCTTTCATTGTTCATCTCCTCTCTTAAAATCTGTACCTTCCTGGATTTTCTTCCCATACTTCTATTAAATCCCATAGGAAGTCATTCAGGAGAGAATTCAACCTGTGGATATTTTTTCCTCAGGAGTAATGTTTTTGGTCACAACTCAGAGGACTCCTGCCATTGAGAAGTAGAGAAGTTCTCCTGGTGGAGAATTTCCAAAATCCTTTGTGCTCAATTGTAATTTGATTTTTTAGAAAGTGTGAAATCCATCTCTCCCTATTCATGGATCCCAAGGCCACTGTCCTCTTTGAGTTCTCCAAGAATCCTTCAAGATATTTCGGCACTTCAATGCCAGTAAAGGTAAAGGTTCCCCTCACACATGCGTGCCAGTTGTTTCCAGCTCTAGGGGGCAATGCTCATCTCTGCTACAAAGCTGAAGAGCCAGCACTGTCCGAAGACGTCTCCGTGGTCATGTGGCCGGCATGAATGCCAAAGGCACACAGAACACTGTTCCCTTCCCACCAAAGTGGTCCCTATTTTTCTACTTGCATTTTTTTGCATGCTTTCGAACTGCTAGGTCACCAGAAGCTGGGACAAGTAATGAGAGCTCACTCCATTACGCGGTGCTAGGGATTCGAACCACCTAACTGCCGACCTTTCTGAGTGACAAGCTCAGCATCTTAGCCACTGAGCCACTGCGTCCCTCATACAATTCCAGTACTTCTACCCAATCTATCCCAAGCAGACTCTTGAAAAGTCTGTGCTAAAATGCAGGCGCTGAAGGAGATGGGAAAATACAGACTTACTGCTTGTCATCTTTGAACCACTGAAATTCCGCAGCGGGCACAGCCATGGCTTCACAGCGCAGGAGGGCTGTCTTTCCTATCAAGGGGCGGGAGTCCTTAACATCCGTGATGATTGGAGGATCTGGGAAAAGACAGCAATGGATAGAGGAATGGATTGGAGGTCAACTGTGAAAGCCATTCTCCTCTCTCTGAAGCCATTTCCTGCAGCCGTTCAACTACAGGCGGAAAAGGCCTTCAAGGGAGAACCTTAAAAAGCTCTGAAAGCGCCAGTGAAGGATCCCAAACTCCTCCCCTCATTTGGAATCGGCGATCTTTCTAACTTCAAAAATAACTTCTCCCGTCATCCCCTATAGCTCAGTTCATTCCAAGGAGGGAAGAAGAAAATTATATCCTTCTCATGTTGGCAGCCATAAAAAAAGAATGGATGGAACAGCATACTAGTTTAAGGAGACTGGGTATTCTATTTCCACCTTAGGCATGAAAGAAGACTGGGTGACTTTGGGCCAATCACCAGGAGACGGTGAGTTCTAGTCCCGCTGTAGGCATGAAAGCCAGCTGCGTGACTTTGCGCCAATTACTAGCAGACTGCGAGTTCTAGTCCTGCTTTAGGCATAAAATCCAGCTGGGTCAGTTTGCCCTAGTTATTCTCTCTCAGCCCAACCCACCTCACAGGGTGGTTGTTGTGAAAGAACAAATAGGAGAATGAGGGAGTATTAGTTATGTTCATAGGCTTACTTGTAAAGTGAGGATGGTGGAATAAAAATTAATAGGAGACGAGAGGAAAAAAGTGAAGAGAGAATAGAATATAGAATATAATAAACCTAACTAAGGTTAACTAATCAACATATACAGATGGTGAAAAGGTAGCTGCCAGGTTTGTAAATGAGCCACTGAGGCCGTGAGTTGTGAATGCAACACAAGGCTGATCTTTAAGCCCAGATCCCCAACCAATCATTGGGGTTATTTTTCCTTTTGAAACCATCCGGCTCAGGCCCAGGAATTGCAGATGTAAAGGAAAATAAAAACAGGTCAGCATGCAGAGCAGAAAGGAAATGAAAAGTTGCCTCACAATTGACCGTGATAAGGACGTGTTTGCTGTCTTGTGTGGAGACCCCGTTCGCCGTGATGCACTCGTATTCCCCAGCTTGTTCTCGGTTGATCTCTGAGATTTCCAGATATTCTCCTTCACTGGTGAATCCATCTGTGGGGAGGGAGCAGGAGGGAGGCAGCAACGGGGTCAGGGCCAATGGCAGGGAGACAGACACAAACAGACTTACAGACGAGAAAACACACATGACACAACACGGTTATCCAGGCCTCCTCCTCCTCCTCCACACAGGGGCTGCCCCACACAGGGCAGACACAAGGGGCAGACAGAGGAAGGAAGGATGCTCCAAATGGTCATTCTCACAACCAACCCTTAAGTGATTTTAGCTCAAAGAACGCCCTGATTTTCAAAGAACATCTTGCACCACTGCAAAAATGAAGGAGAAAAAAAAAAATCTTAGGTCCCAGGCTGAGAGAGCGCAGAGCGAAGAAAGCAAATTCAGAACTAATGGCGGACCCCATAATGGTCGTGAAATTGCCATATTCTGCAGGGGGAGGAAATGTGGATGGTAAAGCTACTGCCTGTCTAATTTTAAGATTACGGTAAAGATTTCCCTGTCAATCATGTCCGACTCTAGGGCACGGTGCTCATCTTCCTTTCTTGGCCGAGGGAGCCAGCATTGTCTGAAGACCGTCTCCATGGTCATGTGAACCGCATTGGCTACTGTTCTCTTCCCACCAAAGTGGTACCTATTTATCTACTCGCATTTGCATGCTTTCGAACTGCTAGGTGGGCGGGAGCTTATCCTGCTGCGCAGAGCTTGGGTCTTGAACCCGGACTCTCAGCTCTCCAAGCTCTTTAACCACTGAGCCATCGCACCCCTCCCAGTTTTAAGATTACCTATAGGATTCAATTGTAGGTGTATACGCAATAAACCGAATAGTCAGCTGAGTGTAACACAATGCACAGTCAGGAAGGGAAGCTCTCCCGTAAGGCTCCATCTTCTGGTGAGTCAGAAATGCAGAAATTCCTATTAGGATGTCATCCCTCGCTACCTCGCCTTGTTCCCTTCCATTCACAACATTTCACGCAAAATGTCAAAACTCCCATTCAAATATTCAGCAGCGTCGCTTTGCTGCAGCTGTGCTCCTTTTATGAATGAAGCGAAATTCTGCATGAAGGGAAGGCAGCCTTTTTTTGTGTGTGTGTGTGCCAGGAATAAACCGGGCCAACAGATAAATAAAATAGCATTGTCTCCTGCTCACTGTGTGGGTCCAGGAGGAGGTGGATCTATGTGACATGTGAAATCTCATTCCCTGTCAATATTGTCCGTTCAGCCCAGCTTGCTACTTTATCCTCCCTGCCCCCACCCCTCCTGGTATCTGGGATTTCATACATATCTGTCCAGAGCTTTTCAAATGGATTTTTTTTTTGTTGCAGCTTAAAAAAATGGAATTCCATTGATCGATTTAAAAGGGGGAATAAGGGATGAGATCAGGGGAAAAAATATTTAAAAAGGCGGATTTCTGCACTTAGGATTAAATTCCATCTGCTTAAAAGATGCCTTGAGACCTGGCAGATACCACCTCTGTGCAGAGGCCCAAGCTGTGTCTAGACATACTCAATCTGGTCAGTTTAAAATAAGCAGTTGATGTCATACAAATGCTAAACTTGCTCTATTTTAATCTTGGTTCGTTATTGGGTGTTAGTGGTCATGGGGACTCAGTCCATTTGATGAGTGCACGACTCAAGATATCCTGCAAACTCTGAACATGGGTTCGTTTATATTTAACCGTGTTTGGCATGTGGTATGAACACAGCTCCCTGACCCACCCATTCTCACTCATGCTGGCAATTAGTGGCTTGCAAAGGAGGGCCAGCACCTCCTCCCGTTTTCCTCACCTTTCAGCTGTCGCCAAATTACCGTCGGTTCCGGTTTTCCCACCGCCAGGCAGAGCAAATTCACATTGCTTCCTTCATTCACCGTCACAGCTGAAGAAATGTTCACGATCCGAGCTGGAACTGTGGAGTTTAAAAGAGAGAGGGGGCATAATGGCACGGGAGAATGACCTTGGGAGACAGAAGGAAGAGCTGAGACGGGACAGAGAAAAAAGAGGCCTCGGCCCACAAAAGGAAGGAGAGCTGAAGGTTCAAAAGAAGAGGACGATTTACTGGAGATCACTCGATATTTAGAGACCCAATTGGAATAAAGACACTGGAGAAATGGGGAGTTCTAGTCCTGCTTTAGCCACAAATCCAGTGAGTGACTTTGGACCAATGCTTGCCCCCCGCCTCTCCCTCCCTCTCTCTCTCCCCTGGAAGAAGAAAGCAAGGACAAACCACTTCTGAAAATGCTACCCAGACAACTGCAGGAACTTGTAAACCATAACTACTTTTTGGGGGTGGAGCAATCTGTTCAATAGAGGTGTCCCCAACACACATACATACAGATTCAACAACATAGGTAAAGGTTCCCCTCGCACATCCATGCTAGTCATTTCTGGCTCTAGGGGGCGGTGCTCATATCTGTTACAAAGCCAAAGAACCAGCGCTGTCCGAGGATGTCTCCGTGGTCATGTGGCCGGCATGACTAAATGCCAAAGGTGCACGGAACACTATTAGCTTCCCACCAAAGTGGTCCCCATTTTTCTACTTGCATTTTTTTTTGCATGCTTTCGAACTGCTAGGTTGGCAGAAGCTGGGACAAGTAATGGGAGCTCATTCCATTACACGGCGCTAGGGATTCGAACTGTTGAACTGCCAACCTTTCTGATCAACAAGCTCAGCCACTGAGTCACTGTGTCTCCCTTAACAGCACAAGCTGTACCCAAATGGGCTTAGAGAGGAGGAAGAAGGTTGGGTTTTAAATTCAACTGGAGTTGTTGTATGCATTTTCTCTGTAGTCCCGCTTTTGTTTGTCCTGTAATTAGATACAATCGCTATTTGCTCCAGAAATGAGGAAGCCATTAGGTGTTAAACTTGATTGAAAGGAGATGTTACTGTTGGAAATGTAAAGATTTCCACTTGGTTGATAAAGGCAATTCCAAAATCTCCTTCGGCCAACTCTTCTACCATCCAGTGACCACCCTCCACACTGATGATAGAAATCCCCTAAGAGAAAATACAAAGGCCCTGGAGATGTGGCGCCAACATCAGGTGTACTGTACTCCCCGTACTTTGTAAATCACCATCCCACCCGCCTTATTTTTGGACTGCCTCCTCAGAAAATCTCAGCACCAGGTGCTTCAGGCTCCCTTCCCTGTTGCAATGGAAGAAGCCCCCCTCCCTCAATGAAAAAAAAACAACCCCCCCCCCTCCCAGACTGGGCCTAACGATCCTCATTGTTTGCATGATAAACTGAGGTGGTGTCTGCAGTGGCAGAGTTATGGGAGAGGGAGAACAGCTGTTTCCTTAATCTGCAGGTTGCTTATCCCAGACTGGGCCCAATCAGCTTGTATTGTAGCAGCTTCCTGGCTCCGGCAACTATCAGAAAAGGGGATGTGTGGGACTATAATTATGGGGTGCATAGCACTGCAGTTGTGGCTTTTGCTAATATGGCAGAAAGGCTGGAGGCGCCTGGGAATTGGGGAAGAAAGTGAAAAGGAAGAAAGAGAGAGAGCAGAATTTTTTTAGCTGGTTTTGACAGCTGGGAAGAGATTTGAGTTCTCGGAGGCCGCTTCTTTGGGAATGAAGATAGATAGATAGATAGATAGATAGATAGATAGATAGATAGATAGATAGATAGATAGATGATATATGATAGATAGATAGATGATAGATGATAGATAGATGATAGATAGATAGATGATAGATGATAGATGATAAATAGATAGATAGATAGATAGATAGATAGATAGATAGATAGATAGATAGATAGATAGATAGATGATAGATGATAGATAGATGATAGATGATAGATAGATAGATGATAGATAGATAGATGATAGATGATAGATAGATAGATAGATAGATAGATGATAGATAGATGATAGATAGATGATAGATAGATAGATAGATAGATGATAGATAGATAGATAGATGATAGATAGATAGATACGGGAGAAAGAAAGGAAAGGAAGGAAAGAGCTATTGCTCTACAGACCCTTTGGCTGGATTCATGCAACTCTGACAGTGAGGACAATCAACCAATGGAACAGAAGTTTCCCTCAGAAGTTCTGGGAGCGTCATCACTGGAGACTTTCAAGAAGAGATTGGATGGCCATTTGTCAGAAATGGTGTAGGGTCTCTCACTTGGGTGGGGGGTTGGACTAGATAAATTACAAGGTCTCTTCCAACTCTGATTATCGGTTCATCTGTTTTTACTAGACTACTTTGGAACTGGCTAATTTGGATCAGCCAGTCAGATGAGCCTCTGCCACAAGGTTAAGCCATCATATAGTTTATAGGGAGGAATCCAAAATGATATAGGCTTTGGTTCTGCTGATCTGGTATGAGAGTTTAGCCTGTGATGTGAATCACGCCTTGGGACAGGGATCTCCAAACTTGGCAACTTTCAGACTTGTGGATTTCAACTCCCAGAATTCTGGGTTAGATGTGAGAGAGAATGCAACTTGGAACCTTCCCTCTGCCGTTGATAGTAAAATTCCATGAAAAGAAACAGGGGGAAATTACACCATAAAAGTGTCTTATCTGGGCACAACATTTCCTGCTTTTGGAATCAGGGCACTTCCACGTTACACTTGTTTCCCTTCTCCGATCTCTCAAAAGCAGCTTGAGGCAAATTCCTCATCCTCTTTGCCTCCCCAGCTTTGAAATCTTGAGAACTTATCTGAGTTAGTCAGTGTTCCTCCAGCTGACACATAAGAGCTTGCCAAGAATGTCCTATCTCGAACTCCTGGTCATCTCCAAAGAATAAAAATGGCCTTACCACCATACTGAGCAAAAAGAGAGAGGAAAAAGTACCACATCCTTCCCATATGTGCATTGATCTGGTTGTACAGGAAATACCTAACGGATGGCTCAGTGGTGGGCTGCAACAGGTTTAACAACTGGTTTGGTGAGTGTGCATTTTGTGCAGCGCTCAGAAAACAGTGATTTTTTAACATCAACAGCTTACCTTCTAGGCAGGGGTACCTAAACTTTTGGACCTCAGGGACCACCAAACTCATAATTTTAAAACCCACGGACCACTAATAGGAATTTTCACTGACGGTAGCTTGCTGACGTTGGTGGGAAAGTCGGCCCCATATTCCTGAGCTGCAGTAGTCACAGGACTGGCCCTTTGGTCATCCCGGAGCTGCTGCTCCTCCACCCCTCTGGCCTGCCATGGATGGAGTAGCTGCTCCAAGATGACCAAAGGGCCAGTCTTGTGACAACTGCAGCTCTGGAATATGGGACCGACTTTCCCACCAACGTCAGCAAGCCACCCAGGGGCAGATTTCTCTCCCCTGCCGTTGGTCTTACCTTCCAGTTCCAGCTCGCATGGCTCTACTCAAGGTAAGGTTTGCGCTTTGGCCGAAGGGTGGGGGCTAGCGGGTGGGCGGGCCATGTGGGTGGTGCACTCTTGTGTTCCCGCACAGCCTGGATTAATTGCTTTGGTGGGGGGGACATTTCTCTGCAGACCACCAAAATTTTCTCACGGACCACCAGTGGCCCCCGGCCTGCCAGTTGGCAACCACTGTTCTAGGGCAGCCCCGATAAGTAGAACAGCTGAAGCGCGGAATTCTGCTGTGCCATGCGTATCAGCTGATCTGAGAAAGATGGAAATATAGGACAGGATAGGGTGGGTGTGGGTGGGCGGGGCCAGCTGATGGTCAGAACCACCAGTTTGATAGAACCGGCCCCAACTGGCAGCAGCCCATCACTGGGATGGCTATGAGAATGATCTGCCAGGCATGGCAAGCCACAGCTCCCTGGTTGCATGGAGAAGACCTTATGGAAATATTGTTGGAAACATTTAAAAAAAAAACCAAGATTTTCCACCCATTGCAATTTCATCAACAGCATCGCTGGACAAAAATGAACTTGCTCAGTTTCTCAACACGGTGACATCAGAGAGGTCTGCAATTGATTGGTGCAAAGGGTCACCTGGAGGTGCTCCAGACCCTCCCCCTCCTTTCCCTGCACCCGTACCATGTACGATGAGGTACACCTGGGAGGTGTGAGGCTTGTCCTGGGTCTGGAAAGAACACGTGTAGAGCCCTTCATCATACACATCGACGTGGCTGATCATGATGCTGAACTCGGAGGGGCTGTACTGCAGTAGTTGCACTCTCAGGTCAATGGACCATTTGTCGTTGCCAGCATACAAGATGTTGGAACGGTTCAGCCAAGCCACACGTGTCACCTGTTGGTCTATGTAGCAGCTGTAGAGAAAGGGAGGTAGAAGGAAGAAGAGTTAGTGTCTATGGAGAGCCTCAGTCTTCCAGGTCATGGTCGTCCCAAAGGTGTTTTTTTTTTCCTTAAAGGCATCTAGGCTTTCTTGTTTTTTTCCTTTGAAAACATTTTGCTTCTCATCCAGGAAGCTTCTTCTGAGCTAGAACTAAAGAAGCTTCTTGGATGGGATGTGAATCGTTTTCAAAGGAAAACAAAAAACAAAAATTTCAGTTGAATTTGGAAAAAGGCACTTTTGGGACAAGCAAGAATGAGGAACAGGAGATCCAGGGGAATAGAAAAAGCAAAGAGATTGGTTTCCACCTCAAATGCTTTGCATCATGGTTTCTTGAAGGATCTGCTGTGAAATAATTGTATAACTGAATCATCCACAACTATTTTAATTTGTGCAACATATTAAGTTGGGCTTCTCAAATCGTAACAGTCGTATCATGCATCAGAATGGAGTAGATGGAATGTTTTGAATAATGAAATAAGAGTATGCGATGAAATTGCAAATGTGACAGATAAAAGTATAAAACTATAATGAATAAAGAACAAGAAATAAGAATTTTAAACATTATATAAAGAAGATACGATAACATTAAAAGAAAAATGAAATAAGCTAAGATATGAATAGAAAATATATACAATGTGTGAGAATATTTGAGAAAATTTATCGAAATTATGTAATGTAATGATGTGATATGAAACTGAATGTGAAAGATGAATATGTAACTAAGGTCATGTTGGTATGGAAATGTAAAAACCTGGAGCCACGCTGTTCACCAAAAGAGAGGTTTAAAATATAAACATAGAAAACTTTTTTTATTAAAAAAGAATGGAGTAGATCATAGTGGGGCAAGATTTTCTGAATTACACATGACTCCACTTACAATCAGTTGTCAAAACCAGCCCATTTTTATCCCTGAGAGACGGATGTATTGCAAATGTATTCTCCCCTTGAGGAAAGAAGAGTAAAGAACGTCATAACTCCAGGTTCTTCTCGGGGCATGGGAAAGCCTTTGGGTGCCTCCATCAAACTCTTTGGAGTCCCAACACTCATGTTATTATCTGTTCTCTAATTTTATTAATGATTTAAAAAAACAAGGTAAAAACTAATGCTAATTAATGTAAAATGAGCAAAAGAAAAGAACACTTAAATATTGGAACACTGCTATCAGGTCACCCTTAGTCCTTCTTTTCATTAAACTAGACATTCCTGCAACTGGTCCTCATATGTTTTAGCCTCCAGTCCCCTAATCATCTTTGTTGCTCTTCTCTGCACTCTTTCTAGAGTCTCAACCAGTGGTGGGGTTCAGCCAGTTCGCACCAGTTCGGGAGAACTGGTTGTTCACTTCCTGAACAGTTTGGTGAACTGGTTGTTGGAAGAAATCTTTAGGGCAGAGAAGAGTGACAACAGTATAGAAAGATTAAAAAGTAGGTGACAACATCTTAACAATATAAAAAAGGAGATAACAATGTCCTACGTTTTGTGAACCTGCTGTGTTTACAAGGACTCCTTCAAATGCAACCTCTTTCAATCAGGCTTTCGATGCTTCCTCCCACCACCTCCATGTGACCCAACCCCCAACCACCTTGTGGCCTGGCTTCTCACCAGCCGGCTAGGCCCCTAATTTCTACAGACACACTGTCACTGCCCTGCTGCTCCGAGATGGAAGATTTAATTATTTAAATGTTTTTTCCTCTTGCTTGAAGGCAAAGGGCACTAAGTCATTCCGATTTCTTGGTCCCTGACAGCTGTCAGACACAGATTGGTCAAACACTCGTAAAGATAATAGGAAAAAAGCTTCAAGGAGAAAAGACGTTGAATTCGCCCCTTTTTCAATCAGGGCTGGCCCCAAATATGACCGAGGTGCTATTGTTGCTCTCTTGTGACACAGTGCAGCTCTAAAGTCAAGCGCTCAGTCCCGAAGTGTGCCTTGAAGAAAAAGAGGTTAGCGTCCTAGACCTTACAGGTTCAAACTTATCCATTTAGTGAAATCATGTAGTTCCTTCTTCTTCCTTTTTTTTTTTTTAAAAAAAGAAAAGTTTTATCTCAAGGGAGGCCCTTGCTTTATTATCCACCTTGATTCTTTAGTCACCGTCAAGCCCCAAGGAAATCAGAAGATCCAGGTAGATCAGATGAATGCATAAATTTATCACATGCTAAAGCTGTCTACAAGAATCTGAACTACTAATGGTCAAAGTGAGTTGGCGAAGAGATAAGAGTCAAGGGAATTCAAGGTGGGCTGGACTTAGATCTCTTGTGGGTGTGAAGGGATTTGAGGCTGATAATATGTTTGACCTCTCCCTCAGTCTCAGTCTGGTCATCTCCCACAGTCATCCTTAAATACTACTACTTTGTGCTCAGTCTTGTAAACTTTTTAACTGTGGATCGTTATTAGTGGAATGTCCACACCAAGATTGGGGTGGACATTCCACCAATGTTTTTGGTTTAAAGCCAAGATATTCCTCTCCTTCCAGGTGTTTGTGCTGCTTTCTGCTCATTTTGAATCTGAATGTCTATTGAATCCCAGAATAGAGTAGAGTAGAGTAGAGTAGAGTAGAGTAGAGTAGAGTAGAGTAGAGTAGAGTAGAGTAGAGTAGAATTCTTTATTGGCCAAGTGTGATTGGACACACAAGGAATTTGTCTTGGTGCATATGCTCTCAGTGTACATAAAAGAAAAGAGTCAAGAGTCAGGAATCATAAGGTACAACACCTAGTAATAGTCATTGGGTACAATAAGCAATCAAATCATACTAGGAAACAGTCAATATAAGTCGTAAGGATACAAGCGACAAAGTTACAATCATACAGTCACAAGTGGGAGGGGATGGGTGATAAGGAGTGATGAGAAGATTAATAGTAATAGTAATGCAGACTTTGTAATAGTTGAACAGTGTTGAGGGAATTATTTGTTTAGCAGAGTGATGGCATTCAGGAAAAAACTGTTCTTGTGTCTAGTTGTTCTGGCGTGCAGTGCCCTATAGCGTCGTTTTGAGGGTGGGAGTTGAAACAATTTATGTCTGGGTTATGAGGAGTTTGTAAATATTTTCACAGCCCTCTTTTTGACTCATGCAGTATACAGGTCCTCGACTGAAGGCAGGTGGGTAGTAATTGTTTTTTTCTGCAGTCCTAATTATCCTCTGAAGACTGTGTCTGTCCTGTTGGGTTGCAGAACCATAGTGGGTTCTGTGTCCACAATATCTTCCTTGTTCCCGGAAATTTGAAAAGCATTCTCTTCGTGCCCTTTATCCAAATCACGAATGAAAATATTGAAGATGACTGGTCCTAGAAGCGAACCTCCTGGCACTCCTTTGATATCTCCAATTGATTCCCTCCCACATGTGATGAGTAACCACCAATGAGCACGTATGACATTTAGTAAGTTATAGCTCTACATAATTGTAATGCCACTCAAAACCCCACTTAATTATCTTGCTAAGAATGTCATGGGGTACTTTGTCAAATGCTTTACTGAAGTCATGATATATTATGTCCCCAACAACCCCACTATCTACTCAGGGAGATACTCAATCAAAAAACATTGAAAGACAGTTAATCTGTCAAGACTTGCTCTTGACAAATCCATGCTGCCTTCTGAAAATCACCACACTGTTTTCACAGTACTAATAGATAAACTGTGCTATGATCAGCTCTAGAACTCTCTCAGGTATTAATGCCAGGCTAGGTGACAGGTAGGTCGACAGGTATTTCCTTCTTCTAAGGATCTGGTCTTACCCTTTCTCGAAGATTTCTCTAACCTAGTGGATACAGCAGTGTTTTTCAACCTCA